TTTTGCTATCTTATTCATCGTTTATATGAAAACTTTAACAATAAATTATATAAGAACTATAGGGTTGCTAGAAAAAAGGGGAGTACTTTTGAAATCAGGGGGTCCTATTCTACCCCCCCTCATCCCCCCTTTTTCTAGAATTTGCCGTCCGTCTACTAAAATTTTCCCAAACGTGGCAATGCGAGCGCTTGGAGAAAATTTTCCTTAAAGGACCGTACTGTTATTTAAAGGTCTGTCCTGCGTAGTTTTTCAAAACAGAAAAACCCCAAAATGTACTGATTTTTTCTTTTGTCCTGCCTTTACCCCGCATTTTCTTCGATATTTTAAAATTAACCTTTCCTGATCGAAATAAAAGCAGTGTCGATAACTAATTGAAATCTACATAAGGGTAATATTACGTTCAAATTGGCCCCATTTAACTTCCCAACAAGCATTTCAGTAAATGTTTTTAAAAATAACTCAAAGTAAGTTTGCTATAATAAGCGTTAAATAAGCATTTTTAATATTAAGCTTATTAGAAGTTTTTTCAAATAAACCTTTAATAAGTTTTGACAGCGAATGTTTATAAATAGCTTAAACTTATAAATGAAATGCAAATGCCAACGACATGAAGTAAATATAACATTTTTTCAATCGTAAGTGACGTGTTTACGTTTTTTAATATATATTATTAAAAGAAAAAATTAAATAAAACCGATGCGGTAAAAAAAAAATCCAATCCAGGACCCGCTGCGCTAATCGGTGGAGTACTCGAGTCTTCAAATGATGAGTTCTCCTTATCCTTTCTTAGTTTAACATTCTATTAAAAATGTATTAAATTTTTTTCAGTAAAGTTCATCAATGAGAATGGCGGCGATGATGGAATATAAAGCTGCATCGATGTCGTTTTTCCAATCTGCCAATAACCGCATTTAATTGAAAGCACGCAACAAGATGTCTGCCATTCTACGCTACTAGAAGATATAGAGGCTTCCTCTCTTCCACAGAGGCTCAAACGGTGGTCGGCAAATTATCTGAGTGGTCGACATTCGTCGGTAATGTTTAGAGACAAATCGAGTAAACTTAGAAAAATAAAACAGGGGGTTCCACTGGGTGGTGTCCTTTCCCCGCTACTGTTTAACTTATACATTTCAAAGCTCCCTCAACCACCAGAGGGAGTCTCGATTATCTCTTACGCCGACGATTGCTCGATCATGGCGGCGGGGAATGGAATTGATGACCTGTGTTCGAAAGTAAACGGGTATCTCTCCGAACTTTCTCGCTTCTTCACTGCAAAGTGTCTAGCCCTCTCCCCTACGAAATCCTCTGCGACCCTGTTCACAACCTGGACGAAGGAGGTCAGGCTACCGCTGGGAATTCACGTCGATGACACCAATTCCGACGGTGAATAATCCCAAAATACTCGGAGTAACATTCGACAGCCTGCTCTCCTTCTCTGCGCACGCAACCGCTATTGTCAATAAAGTACAGAGCCGCAACAAGGTCCTCAAGTCGCTAGCCGGCAGTACTTGGGGCAAAGACAAAGAAACGTTGCTGGCAACACACAAGGCAATTGGCCGGCCGGTTTTAAATTACGCAGCGCCAGTGTGGTCGCCGGGGACTAGTACGACGCGGTGGACGAAGCTACAGACTGTACAGAACACCGCATTCAGAACAGCGACAGGACACCTCCTGATGTAGCCCGAACATCACCTCCACAACGAGGCACAAATGCTCCCCATAAAGGAGCACAACATAATGCTC